AATGAACACACACACAGAGACACAGAGACACACAGACACACACACACACACACACACACACACACACACACACACACACACACACACACACACACACACACACACACACACACACACACACACACACACACAAACAGGCAATGATATTCAACTATTCAAAAGGAGATAAAGTGGTGAGGACAGAGGTCGAGGGGAGGTTTTTCTACAATTTTATTTTGAACTGCAGTAGTAAAAACTAAAAGCTTGCAGCACAACAGACACACTGACACACACACACACACACACACACACACACACACACACACACACACACACACACACACACACACACACACACACACACACACACACACACACTCAAAAACACACTTGCACATGCAATTTTGATTAACAAACAAATCAAAGCAGCGAAGCAAACCCCTTTGAGGCAAATGCTTTAAAACCAGAAGTGGGTTGTGTGGGAAAAACTGTGTGTGCCACAGCTAGCACATTATTCCCCAACCCCTCTTGTGCGTTAAATGGCTCTATAAAAACTAGGGTGGGGAGGGGGGGTAAATCATGGGTTTTTCCTGCATTGAGCTCAGGTCATCTTGTACCTTTGTAACAGGCACCCAGCTCAATTACTATTAGTAGCTCCAGTAATATGGGTAGTCATTACAGTAAGCAAACATAATGACATTCATTCAGCAGCAAATCAGGGAGCTACAAACACAAGTGGCTGATATAATTGAATTAGGACAAGGGTGTGAGAAATAGAGAGGCTTCAGTGTGGAGCAAAAAAATGATCGTTCAACGTTAATGGGCAAACCACACACAATTAATAGCTGTGGCCACACCTTACGACGAGCTTGTGTGTGTGTATTTGTGTGTGTTTGTTTGTGTGTGTGTGTGTGTGTGTGTGTGTGTGTGTGTGTGTGTGTCTATATGAGAGAGGTTCTGCGCACCCTAGTTGAATGCAAATGCAGATCTCGAAAAATGTCAATAGCAGGGACATGGCGTGTGCTAAATGTCAACATGTGTTTTTCAAGGACTCTTGTCTGCGTCGACTCTTGTCTGCGTGGTAATTGGCTCTGTTTTTAATATTACATTTATTTCATTTGTTATTTTTCCCTTTGAAAAAAAAACTAATATTTGAAGAAAATGTAGCAACAGGCCCAGGACTATGAATATGCAGCTGAGCCTTTGGCACTGCAGTGTGAAACCAACAGACAAAGGAGTAACACAACGGGAAGACAAACAGGTGAAGCACAGACTAATCAACCCTTTTCATGTCGCTCCGAACATTAACCTTTATTCAGAGCAAATAAAGCTGCGAGCGCACAAACACACATGAAACTATCCCTCGTGCTCTGTGATGAATAATTGGGAATTATAACATTTTTAGAGTGAGACGTTGGAAGAGAGTTACTATTGGTCAGTTGGGATTGAAATTGAATAGACTGGAGCGATTACAAAAACACATGAAAAAGCACGAAAGGTGTAAAGGTCAAAAACATAACTGATTTAACTCAAATTAAAAGGGAACACCAAAGACAATATAATGCTATTGTGATCATCCGTTTGATATGATCAGCTCTCTTTTTTTTCCATTATCACAAGTCGTCTGCCCACTTAGATCTGAGGAATCTTTCAAGGGGAGATGGGCGGTATGCTGTTCACACAAACCCCTCAGACTAGGACCCTGTTAGTATGAAGTGCCTGAAGCTTGTAGTCAAAGTTTTCACAACCCATAGCCAAAATGTCTCAAACACAGGGTAAATGTGGCTGGCTGCTGCATTTTGATCAGGCACTGGGACAGACAGCGGTGACAGCTACGAGCAGACCTCCCCACCCCCCTACCCCACCCCCCACAAGCGCTGTGTAATCTGCATTAGTGTTGAGCCACTAAGGAAGATTAAAGGCCTGTTGAAGATAAAGGATTGAGCAGATGATGTTTATGAACTCTGCAGAGTAGTGTCAATTTTGGATGACAACGTGGTGAAAGATTAAGTGCTGAAACAAATTACTGGATAATTTTTTAAAAGGCCTGCAGATTGACTGCAAGTATAATTAAGTAGTAGGGGTGCTATAATAACCAATAGGAATGATGGCCAAAACACAAAAATAAGGCTGTAAAAAATACATGTTTTTCTCACATTGAAAGTCATCACTTGGATCATGCACACCCACCTTAAGCTCACGGAAGAAGATGCTGCTGCGTGCCCACTCTACGATGGAGAAGAGAGTCTGGTCGGCCATTTTGCACATGAGGCCGAAGGTGTTGAGCTTCTCGTGTTTTCCTCGGCTGGCCTGCTCCTGCTGAAGGTAGGCCATGATCTTGGCCTGTACCTGCGGCTCATCTGGCTCACACTTAAGCAGCTCTACGATCAAGTGAGGAAAGCTGGGCGGCGAGCCGGTCTGGTAGGCGTCGACATAGGCGTAGCCCATGATGGACTCCGGCGAGCTGGTGTACGGGTCTGGGTACTCTGACTTGATGGTGCGTGTGCCTTGGAAATGTCCGTAGGCCGCCTGGTAACCCTGCAGGCTGCCGGCGTGTGGCGGCATAGCCATGCTGACCGGCGAAGTGACGAATGGGCTGCGATCATAGTCTGTGGGGGGCAGGGCGGTGGCATGATGGTGGTGGTGGTGGTGGTGGTGGTGACCGGCGTGGTGCCCGGGGTGGTGGCTCAGCGGAAGGCCCTTGGATGCGGCCGAGTGGATGTTCTGGATGGCTGAGGAGATGGTGAGGTCGGTGGGCACAGCTTGCATCACCTGAGTCATGGCCTCAATCTTCAGGCCGTTGGCTCGGATCAGAGCCTTCTTCTGCTGCTTCAGGGCCCGGTCCCGTTTGTACATCGGGCCGAACTTGTTGCGACCGCCACGCATGCGATCCGCCCGAACAGCTGACAAACACACGGAAAGAGAGAGGAAAAGAGGGACAAGAAGGAAGAGGAAATGATTAGCTCTCTGGTATGTAACTCTTCTTTCCTGCATAGAATACATTTTGGAAAATACTATCCATCTTTTGGCACATTCACATTTAAATCAAGCTCTTTAAAAACAAACATTTGTGAATCGTTTATGAGCTGAAAAACGACGTTGTGGTGGATTTCACATGAGCGACTATTTGAAACAGAAATGCTTTTGACACTTATTAAAGACATAATCCTGTGATTTTATGTTGCCATAATATTTGTCAATGTATGTTTACAGATTTAATGTGTTGTGGAAGGGAACTGCTCATTACTCGTAACTTGTATACTGTATAGGGCAAACTTTTTCCCGTGGTGATTACACTTGACATTTACCTGTTGACTGCTAAACCTCACACGTCTAACAGATAGTGTTGTTACTCATTGACCGGAGACACACACTTCTATGAACTGCTCGCCTGAATGATCATTTTACAGCTGGCTATCTGTGTCTACTACTCAGTGAATGCACACAGCTAGCTAATTGTATAGACTAAGAAAGCGATCTTTCTAAAATACATCTTTTACAGATTTTATCCCTAAAGGATAAAGGCTGACAATAAGAAAATTGTTGTGTTTTTTTTTTCTGGTAAGACAAACAAACCCATGATGCCCCCTGCCTCCCCCCCTCAGTGCGGTATCCTGTGGTGAGGATCACAACGAGTCAGTGCCGTCGGTATTTCTAATGAACGAGCCGGGTACACAGTGGACTGCTACGAGGGCCATGTGTGATCATGCAGACTGCTGCCATGGGGAAGCTGCTCTGCTGTCTCCCAGTCGGGGGGCGCTAGTGTTAATTATTCATACTTAATTACCTCTTACTCTGACGAGGCTCGCCGAGCCCAGGGTGAAACTAGCTAACGGACGTCTGGAAGATTATGCTACAGTAAAACACTCACTTATACCAATACGCTAGAATATCAGAGGGTTATTTTCATTGTACTCAATGAGAGAAACCCACAAATGTAACTGTGAATGCAAATACATACAAATACATTTGTACTGACTAGTCAAATAACATGGCGATGCAGCCTCAGTCCATTCCACTTCATGATGTCTTGATGGATGAATGAAAGAACAGAAGAAGAAAATTGAAGAGGGGGTGTGGAGGAGGAGGGGTGGGGGGTCGAAGTGTGGGAGTGAGGAAGGGCACACACACACACACACACACACACACACACACACTGCAAGCTGCCTTGGGAGTGATTTTAATGACCTCCGTCACAAAAGTGTCTGCCACTGATCTGAGCACGAGGAGCCGGGAGGACACACGCACACACACACACACACACACACACACACACACACACACACACACACACACACACACACACACACACACACACACACACACAGCCCCACATGCTGAATCTTTTTCATAAATGTTTAAAGAAAACACAAACACACACGGAAGGCATCACACACTGGTCCAGATCACACACAGTGCGTTGGTAGCAGGCCAGACGCTCCGCCACCTTAGAGAGGCCCCGTCGACTCAAATGCAATGTCATTTATACACAGTGAATTCACAAAAACTCACTGCAATTTCCCAACATGGCTGAGGTCACCTTTAGCGCCCACTTAACGAGGTTTAGGGATTATCTTGACCGATAAAGTATGTATCACATTTCAGAGGAAAAAAGAAGGGAATCAGGACTTTCAAATGTATCCATTATACATTATTGTAAGGCGACTTTAACTATTAATGATTTCTCCACAACAGCGTGATTAACGAGCTGAGAAACTAACAGTTGGCCCTCCTGGGAAAACAAAATTAGGCCCTGACTGCGCTCTTGCCTGCCTCAAACCAAGGGAGCTACATCATGAATATCAGGATCGGGGGGGGTGCAGGTCTCAAACACACTCAACACACGCACACATTCTTTGTCTCTAATTAAACAAGGTGATTTGCATGCATGTAACACAGATTAATTTGGAAAGGGAGGAGGGGAGGGGAGCAGGACACTATGTGTGTGTGCGTGTTGGGGTAGAAGAGGATAATGTGTGTTTGACTGAGGTTGAGAGTTGTCAATGTCTTGGATGCTGAAGCATTGAGCTTATGATAAAAAATATCATGGGACCCTCTATGTTAAGAAGATAATAGGGTCTAAAAGATAGTGGTAAGGTAATAATTGGTAAATGTTTCATTCCTAAACATTTATAAATAAATAAATATATATGTTATTAGAATTATAATAAGTTATAAGCATAAAAGCTTGTATCTGGTCATCTAGCAGGTGTGTGTGGTGCCAAACCTCATCAAAGGTAAATGAATGAAAAAAGACAACACTGCTTGCTTTTGAAAGTGCAGCTATGAACATTTAAATCAGTGCAAAGGAATAGTAACAAAAAAAGAGGAGAAAAAGAGGAAATAAAGTGTAAAAATATATACTGTAAGATTACAAAGCATCTCAAGGTAAAAAATAGTTTGAATATATTCTAAACCTTCTATTATTGGTGTGGAAAGGATCTGGTTTAGGGGAGGTTGTCTTGTGGATTAGCTCACTGCTTTGGAGCTGAAGCCAGGCTGAAAGGCAGACGCTATCGTTCACTTTGAATTTCTCCGACTTTCTGTCTGAGAGCCTGTCCACACAAACACACACTTACAGGCACACACTCTCTTGTATAAATTAAGAAACTGACCCATCTAAAACCCTTCTGAACTTTTCTTAAAGTATCCAGTACTCAGTTTACACCCAATCTCGAACACGCACAAACACAAACACCCACACACACAGCATCCTTCACACCCACAATTTCTTGGCACACATAGCTCCTACACTGAAACACATCACGCACACAACAGCCCTCAGCGCTTATATCCTCTGATTTATGGTTGTTTAATATACAGGAATATTAAGCGCGCGTAGGTGAGGATCCCTGTCGGCCAGCAGCATATTAATGGGTCCCGCGGAGCCTTGCTGACACCCTGTTTGTCATGTCGGGGCCCCGGCCCCTGCTCCGGATGCGCCCTATCCCATGCACACACATGAATACCTATGATACCTATGCATAAGTAATGGGACAGCTCCCTGGCTTCCATCGCAGGTACTGAGGCTGATGGAAGACAAATCAGAGCAAGAAAGATGCAGGGAGGAAATAAAAAGTGGAGGGAGAGATATGCAGTGAGGAATATCTAAACGCTCACATGGTGACGCTAATGTGTGCTCATGACTCTATCTGAGTTTTACATTTATAATTATTAATGAATCTAGATTTGACAATCGATTGCATTAGACAAAATGGTTCAAAATAAATATAACTGGAGGAAGCCTTTGGGAGTCTGATCAGTGATGCTGTAAGTCCAAGCGAAAAGTGGAATAATATATTAAAAATAAATTAGAGTCAAGTCAAAAAAGGCCATTTTAAATCAGTATTTTGCTATGGTTTAAAACAAGACAACAGTGGCTGCTTTGTACAAGCTAAACATAATATTATTTGTTATTCGGTGTTTTAAAACTGTGAAGGAGAGGAGACAGTGAAATAATCAGCCTATTATCAGTGGAGTACACGTTGCATCCTGTTCTTTGTTTTGTCAAAAATATTTTCTTATTTTAAATGGGTGCCTGTCATGAACTTTTCAATTGATGTTAAGAAAAAAATAATGGAAGTTCAAATTGAATTCTCAGTATCACAAATACCTCTCTTAGGCTCTGTCTTTAAGATGATACACAGGTTAAGGAAATATTAGGCCGCTCAGTGAAGCATGTGATGCAAGACAACTTCTAGCGAGCATAAAAAGAAAATCATGCCAGTGGGAGCCGTTCAGATACGGCACGCTTCATCAGCTTTAGTGAATGATGTGCTAATGGGTCAAACCTTAGTGGGATGTCGCTTTTTTTCTTTTTCTCAAGGAGTCTTCACTGAGAGCTGTGATGCTACAGTGCATACCAAGAAGCAACATTTGTACAGGACGGCATGTCTGTTTGTGTGAGGCTGCCAGGCTCAATCACCACTGTGTGAGTGTATGGAAAGCAGATAGTGTGTGTTTGCCATGTTGTGAATTTGTTTTCCTTTAATGCTGTTTGAGACTCTCAGTAACTACAAATGATTAATTTAGGTATTAAAATAGATTTTTGTAGACACATATTAATCTTATGTTTTTATATTTACATGATGAACATCAGTATTTGTAAAAATGGAACTGATAGATGTTAGCTGCTAATGGCATCTTGTTAAATGTTGTTTAAGGTCACAGTTCACATTTCCAGATTCACTTTTGCTGGAATTAAACCTGTGACTATGTTAACTAAATGTTTACAGTTAACAACTTTATCTACTGTCATAGTTGATGCAATAACATTATTATGTTGTATTGGAAAGCCTTGGATGTTACACACTGGCTCAGAGGTAAGCTATTTATTCTTGTTTTTGTTATCAGTTTTAGATAAAACAACTAATCTCTTAGTGTTTGGACACTGTGTTCTGTATACCACTCTGATATTGGACCGTCCGCCTTTTCACCTTGTTTCGCTGCCTTCTCTGAACTTTAAAGCACACACGCAAATAACGACATCTTGAATGCTACCACCCTCACTGCAAACTGCACACACTGTCCTAAAGGTTAGCAGACCTTTTAACAAACAGGAAGGACTTTGAGCAACACCAGAAAGGCAAACATTCGAAAAATTACAGTTTGAGTCACATTTGGTTTCCAGTCGATATCCTGAATTCACATGTTTCTGCAAGCTGCTGTGTAATGGAATGAAAAGATTTTAATAACAAGCACATGACCCCAAACCTCCTTTTCCTTTCCAACGCTTTTGCACACACACTTTTTTAAAGATCAAATGACAGCTTCTCCCTCTTGCCTGTGGCCTTTTGAACACCTTTTGTTTTTTTTTCATGAATATATGTATGTGTTTATCAGGTGTGTGTGTGTGTGTGTGTGTGTGTGTGTGTGTGTGTGTGTGTGTGTGTGTGTGTGTGTGTGTGTGTGTGTGTGTGTGTGTGTGTGTGTGTGTGTGTGTGTGTGTGTGTGTGTGTGTGTGTGTATACTGAGGTGTGTCAGCCATTCTGTACAGGACGTCTTTACTGCTTGTGGCAGGAGTTGCTCACTGGAGCTTCTGGCCCCTGACAGAGTGCTGCAGGGCCTGTCTTGCCCCCGAGCTGAAAACTACCGCCAGCATAACAAATCAAAAGCTATCCCCTCCCCACCTGTGTCAGCTGGAAAATGACAGGCCAGGACATTCTGCCCAGCGGCCATTCACAATTAACAGCAATTAATTACACTGCACATGGCAGCTAAAGGAGGAAGAAGCCTCAGGAGAGATTTTAGTCAGACTGCCTTTGCTCTGCATCACCCTCCCAGGGTCTTATTTTCTTTAACACATTAACTTTTCTCAATTGTGTGTGATCATTCCAGGAGCCTAGGGATTTTTAATTCAGTTCAAATAAAAACATTTGAAGAATTTGGTTTATGTATCTGAAACCGTAAGAATAGCAACACCTACTTTTAGTAAAAAACTACAAAAAAGTGAAACAATTTGCAGATTATTTTAAAGGACAATGTTATAACTTTACTCTTCAGTCGACAAATTAATAACTGTTTCCTCTAGCTTTAAAATCCCCTATTTTGCACATATATATTACAAGATAACCTTCAGGTAAATGTATTTAATCCAGAATTAGGGATTTCAGTATAAAACCTGTCAACTTGTGCTGACAAAAGTTGATTTTAAATATTATCTTTCTGTTAGAAGAATGTTTCTTGCCCTGCAGTACTGTCACTTCTGGATAACCGTGTTTGAACAAGCTTCTGAGCCACGTTCAAATTAAACAAAGAGGCCTCGAACCGGCCGGCCAAAAGTATCATCATTACCATTCTCGCCCTGCCGCCAAGTTTAATATTTTATCTATTACGCTGTCTGGCAAGTTTAAGTGCACAGCAGCTACAAGATACCCCCTAACTCCCCCTGACCCCATCCAAAATACTAATAAGCAATGTTGGATTTCACCGCTTTGGTAGTAATGAAAGGTTTCTTTTCACAAAGTTCTAGCTATACATTTGCGAGAACGATATTACTGAGATGTTCATTGTTAAGCTTTTAAATAAATATAACCTTCTCCTTTCATACATGCAATTATATTGTCAGAGTAAGTATCAACCTTTTCTGAATGGTGGAAAACGTCAATTTGTGAGGGACTGTTCACATGCAAATTGATCATGGAAGAATATTTTCACTCTGAGTTGAATAAGAAAAAGTGAACGTGCTGATTAACTGTGTTGAAGTGGGAATTCATGGAAAAATACTAGCTCTACCACTCTACTCAAACTTTTAAATCACTGCGTAGTTTGAGTCCAGAAGCAATCAACCTCAGATTTGTGATGCTTCTTGTTAAAATGTCCATTCCTAGATTTCAGTAATTGCAAAATGGAATTATATCTTGAAATATATAAAACGTAGCACACACTCAGAAAAATCTGCTTTTCCAAGATGCTTACTGTATTGCTCTGGATTATATTTTTGCGGTGTTTACCATGAAAACCCAAAAATAGACGTATTAAGTGGTGAAATTGAATCATTCATATAAAACAGTAGGTTTAACTTTAAAGAGATACATTTTTACCGAGATTAAAATATAAAAAGATTTATGGTGAGTAAGTATTTCCTATTTTAAACTACTTTATCCTTTTGCTCTACCATAGTACAAAAACATACTTTTCACTAGTCTACATTTCATTGACAGCATTAATCAATACAGTTGTTTTTTACAGATACATACAAATTATATTGTTACATTTAAATTAACCAATAGTTTACAACAGTAAATATTAGCTCCACTTCAACCATATACAAATTAAAATGGTATCAATAATAATATTACAGGTATGTGACTCAGGAGGCATTTTTGTCTGAATTATGAATCCTTTTGCGTTTGAGGTAACATTTTCCTGATTATTTCTCATTCTAACCTTATGTTTAAAATGAAATCACATTAAATTACAGACGCAAAACACCAAACGACTTGTAATCTCAAGTCATTGTGTCTTGAGGCAAACACCAACTGTGAAAATGTAAACAAAATGCTGCATACCTTCTAGCTTCATGCCGACGGTGAGGCACTTCTGGAAGCGGCAGTACGGGCAGCGCTTCCTCTGGGTCTTGTCAATTTGGCAGCTCTGGTTCTCTATACATGTGTAGCGCTTGTTGTTCTGGACGGTGCGCTTGAAGAAGCCCTGCAGAGAGAACCAATTAAGACGTCAACCTGCTTGACCCCTGCAATGCGATGGTAATTGGCCCATTCACACTCCCAGACAGATGGAGAGGGTAGGCTTAATAGACACACACACACACACACACACACACACACACACACACACACACACACACACACACACACACACACACACACACACACACACACACACACACACACACACACACACACACACATAGGGTGAAGTTTTTGTAGCTACACTTCAAATTATGTTGTGATGCTTACGGACACACACACAAGCATGAAAACAAACTTATCACAAATAAAACAAATGTTCATCTATCTGAAGAGTTAATACAAATTATATTAAAAATATAGTCACACATAGTAAATTTTTGTACATTGTGCATTTACAATACACCTAATTCAATATAACTTTAAACAAATTAAAAAAAACATAGATTTTCTGCTTATCTACTTTACACAGTCTTTTTCTGCCTACACTACTTTTATAAAAAGTATGAAATGTAAAATGGGTCCCGTAAAAATTACATCGCTATTCTCACTATTAAAAATATCTCAATAAATCCTGGAAAAGAATTTAAGGGGAAAGCATATTTTCAACTTTCCACTTAATTATTGAAAAATATGAGCACAGGAATCCAAAAAATCCAATAAATTATATCCATAATTCACAGTTCCGGGATTACAGAGATTCCTACCTGCAACGTGGAATTAATTATAGGTAGCAGCAGTGAAAATCAAACGAAGGGAAAATGGTATTAACGTATTCCAGATCCATAACCTAGGAGGAGAATCCTTAAACCTGGTCTCTTTAAAAAAAAAAAGAAAAAAAAAAAAGAACGTACTGCTGTCAATATCTCAGCAAACCCCAAATTTAATTGACAATCTGCATTGCCTGATCCGTCCCCCTCAAAAAATCCACAGCACTCGGTTTTGGATTATTGACTTCTCAGTGCTAAGAAATCCATGCTTTAGAGAGAACTTTCTATCCAATTTTCCATTTAGTGCACAGCATACGCTATAAAAATCTGAAGCAAACTGGATTCTTACATGCTTTAAAAACCACGTCTGGAGATTAAGCGGACAACATCCCTGAAAAGCTTTCCTTTGACCGGCAGTTCAAACTAAGAAAAGGCAATCGCCAAGGCGCATTTGTATTTATAAAGGAATTGCTGACATTTTGATTCTGTCTGTTGCCTAAGAATGTTTCTCATTTTAATTTCTCTCAGTTCAACATAAGATCTATGTTCCTCACAATAATTCAAAATGATTTGCTGTAAAGTAGAGACAAGCTATTTTAACATGTAATGTCCAATATCATTTTTAAATTATCTTCATTTTCCTGACCTTGAAATTCCGAAAAAGACCAGAAAACTGCTTCAACTACACATCAATGCGGGCCGGTAAGGAAAAATATAATGCATATCACCACTTTATCTCCTCTGATCCTCGTCTCCTATTCTCTATACCTAATTTGCTTTGTGGTCTGTCTAACTTTATAATGACAACAATGTAAAATCCTTTAGCCTCAACTTTCTTTATTCATTTTCATTTCTCCTATCAATTTTTTGTTATTTTTACTACTCTGCAGATCTATTTTTTGTAGATGTCCACTGATCAATATGACTGACCCTTGACCTTCTCTTTAGTCTCTTGTAATGTCAGAATTTGAGGATTACAACATTATTATTCTGCTGTTGCTCTTTCAGCTCAGCCTCCCAAACATGAAGACTGCTGGGAACGTGCCTGTTTGTGTACAACGAGCACCATGAAGCCGGTTCAGCTTGTTGTTGTTATTCCAGCAGGTATGATGTGGGAACATGTTTACTTTATGTAGGCTGGTGTAGTATGGACCAACACTCTCTGCTGGGAGGATTATAAGGAGGTTTCTCTTTCTGCATGTGTTTGTAGGTGTGTGTTCCTTAGCCTAAAAATTGCATGCTAAGCAATAATCCCCAAAATCTGCATCTGATAACAAATGCGTCCTATTCACAACTGCGTTTTTGGGGATTGATAGGTAAATTACATCTAAAATCTCACTCGAAGTAGTGTTTTCAAATCAGATACGAAAAAGTTCTGAATCTTACTCCGGTGCTGCATTACAAATCTGAGCCGAGGTACTTTCATACAACAACAAAACCAAAATACAACATATAACTCCAGTTTCCATTCAGCTGCATCTAGAGAGGAACCTCTATTACACTGGAGATGACACTGCCTGGCTGATAGCGAATATTCAATATACAGGAGTCTGTATATTATCAACACACACATCTGACAAACATACTTTTACTGAATAAAGTGCTTGCATTTTAAGAGATAATCAATGAAGCGCTTCAGGTAATTATCAATATCTTTCATGTTTCAACAAGGATGTGCAGCACTTCATAAAAGACTTCTTCATCTACATTCTGCATGCACACGCACAGCGTTTCAACTAAACTTGGAAATGTGTTTGTGGATTGGCTCTCCAACGCAAGCCGTTGCTGAAGCTGAAAATCAGCAGAGATGCCACTGATATCTCCCGTCAAGCAAGTGCTTAGCATCTCAAGGTCATAATATGGGATACAATCTATAACATCTGCTTTGAATAATTACCACATAGGCAAGAAATGTGTGCTGCAGCATTAATACTGTGAGCGGACAATTTTACACTGAATAGTGTTAACACAGAGACATTTGTCTTAGCTTAATTTTGTGCTGACAGCTTTACTGGGCAAGCACAACAACTTGGGTAAAGCCTATTAGCTCAGTGTTGAGGAGAACGAGGAAGGGAACAAACAGGTTGTTGATAGAGCTCAAATAATAGCAGCAACAGCTTGCTTTGTGGTAGCCTTATCACTGTGTATGGAAACATTTTGCAACCAGACAATGTTGCTCTTCCTTTAATTAACCTGTGATGAGAGTTTTGGACGGTAAAATACAGGCTTGTGTAAATAGACACGGTATCATTGTGTACTTTGCTTCCTGGGTCAAACCCACACACCCCTGCCTCCTGTGTTTGACGGTTGCAAAAATGACAAAAACCCCTTCCTAGCCTTTCACTACTTTACAAAATCCTCTGACCCTCACAGGAAAAGTTTGTTACATCACTTGTCACAACAATATTTCACCCTCGGCCTCTTTGCCTTTAGTTTTCCTGTAATGTTAATGACAAGGAACTGAATCTGAACAGAAGAGTTACACTTGTTACAAGTCACTCTGGACAAGAATGCAGGCTGAATGCCTAGCGTGCAAAAATACAACTGCTAAGAATGCATCACCACAGATAAATAGAGACACTGAAATAAAGCTGCCATAATGAAATACAAGAGCCACAGTATTACTATCTAAGTGTATTTTAAATGTGGACAATGCAAAATCATGCCCACCTGACACTGACTTTGATGCACTACAGGAACTTTAAAGTGAAACCAATAATTAGGTAACTGTATTACTGAGAAGAACTCACTACGGCAAACAATTTGAATCACTAGGAACATTTGAAATATCAAGCAGATAGGGGAAGGTCACCATGCACTCAAAACATCATTATAATAGAGAGGAGAATGAGCGCACTAACCTTGCAGCTCTCGCAGGTCAGTAGTCCGTAGTGATAGCCTGAAACCTTGTCTCCACAAACGGGGCACATCTCGTCCAAGTCTTCGTCATAGGAGTAGTCCATCATTTTTAACTGGTGGGCTGTGGATGAGATGCGGACACACAGAGAGAAGTCTATTTCAGTGCTGAGCAATCTCTTTTCCAAAGCACACTTTCATCCATCAAAATGAATCACGGGGAACCACGTGATGCAACTGAACGAGCATTTTTTTAAAGTTCTGTTGGACTTGTAGAGTTTTAATTTGAGGAGGGGAAGACGATGAATAGTCGATTTTGGAATGAGTTGAAAGGACTCAACCATTTATTTCTCCTTGCTGCTGCCCTCTCTTCTACATTCGTTGCAGACAGGAGCCAAAAAATAAAAAAGCGCATGAAAGTGAGCCTCATAAATATGCATGCATCTAAGTCGTGAAATCGCTGGGGGAAATGGAGAGATATTAGAGTTAAGGATTGGAGGAGAAAATGTTACCGCCCACAGACAAATGAAGACACACAGAGAATCCCTTATCTCTGCAGGCGAGGAGAAAAAAAACATTCAAAACCTACTTGAACCAACATTATTTCTCCTTTTCGAAGAATAACTCGCAATGCTATAGGCCAACTGTTTTAGTTTATTTTATGTATTTTGGTGGTGCAAAAGCAGAGGCAGCATTCAATGACTTTCTGCGTGCGCTGGAAAAAATTGTCAGTTTTACGAGCTTTCAATATAGGCTAATTGAACATGACATTTTTGTACACAATTTACCATTGTTATAAAACACATTTAGCAATTAGTTAAATTCCATAACAGTGGCCTATTTTCCCATGTATTTGTATTTATATTAAAGACTGAATATATACAGGTACTTCCATTCGAATAGTATTTCGATGGGTCTGTTGAAGCCCTTGCCTTTCGTATATAAATAGTTGCATGATAAGACTGTGTGTGAAAGCGCTAAGCAAACAGTCAGGCTGACTTTTACAACGCTTACAAAAGCCTTTATGGTTATAATCATGAAAAGCATGCCATGGATCAAACAGGAAAACCTCAGTGTATGGCTGTAAAAGTGGAAATATTTTGTCAACTAGTCGCCCTCCAAGGCCTTCACATAAATTACTGCTCTATTTCAGAATCCCCTCATCTGCTCACTGAGACCTTTTAATTAGACATGATTTCTGGTTTGTTAACGCGTTGCCCTGCTGGGATCCGCACTGCATATTCCAGCTGAAGCAACAAGTTCCACCGAGCTGCCGGTTTTTCCACAGAAGCTCGAAGCAAACTCCATTTCCGAACTTTATTCTGCCTTTAAGCGCAGAAAAAAGAACATTTGTATAGAGCATGTTATCATTACGCACGGCAGCTGTAGATTTAGACATAAAGAAAAATGAACATTGACGAGGCATTGGTTGCAGCTAGAGGCCGTGCTAAATAAAAACAAAACGAGTAGCTTGAATTGTAAATGGTTCGAATGACAGAAATACATACTTTCTTCCAGCAATATATTTGATGGGTTTTGGATCAAATCTTCCATACAATTATACATTATTGCCTACTGCTACTATGTTCCTTTCATTGGCCTTTAGAAAGATGAATTGCCTGATCTGTTTAAAAAAACAAACAAGAAAATGCATAATTGTCTAAAGTAAAGATGTAGCTAAATTGAGTTTAGTTGAACTCTCCTGCATCCCTGCTTCCTAAACAAGCGGAGGTTTGCGCACAGTGTGTGCAGGTTAAATTGCTTTAGAAGGCGAAGAAACAAACTCACCTGCTATAGCTCTCACCTCGACGGCCACTTGCTTGAAACTAATTTCCAAAAGCTACGACATTTTGCACTTTCCAAAAGAAAGGCTCTTTCAGTCCGAGCTACCTTGTTGTTAGCCTTGCGTACAATTTAGATAACGGGCTCTCTAACAAGCCACTCCTTGTCTTGTGAGTGTGTGTTATCAATGGTCATAAACCAGGACCGGGCTAATTGATTGCCCGTTTATATTACTGCGGAATGCCCTGAGTGGAATAAGTTGCACGTGACTTTATCTTGGCAAAGGAGTCAGTCCATTTGTACATGTTCTCTGATGTATGTGGATGTTTTGAAACAGATCAAGAAAAAGGCATGCCGTATGGAATAATTTACACAAAAAACCGTTTGGATTTTTTTGATCAAATAGGTTTTTTGAACCCTTTTTTCGCGCGGAGATCGAAGGCAAATTTACATTACAATATACATAATTATACAAAGAGATAAGTAAAGTAATTGGAAGAAAATTAGATGAAAAATGTTTGGTTTCCTATTCAACATAATTTTGAAATTCAATTCATTTTAGGCCATTTATTAAAAAAAAACAATTAGAGAAGAAAAAATGGTTAGAAACACAAAAGGATAAATTAGTTTGAAATCTTTCGTCACCCAATGATGTCTATTTTGTTGTAACAATGCTTACAGACTTTGTGTTAGATCACATTCTTAGACGAAAGTTTACTGTCCCGAGGTCAAATTTAGACAAGAGAAAATAATGTTAAAGTTTTTTTTTTTTCTGACTTTTATGTTGGCAACATTTATCTTTTCACTACTTTTTGTATAAAGACTAAATCAGGAGTTTATTCTGCGTATGCTGCCTACATTAAGTCATTTTAATTATTTTGCATTATTAAACCACATACATTAAAAGGCTAAATACACAATGCTCTGTCTCACAGTGTTAACTCACCAGGCGCCCGAGCACTTCCAGTATGCAGTGACAGCTGGGTGTCATAATTGTTTGATCGTCAAACGTTACACATGTGTCCAGGTTTGATCTGGATTGGTGGGTTACTTATTATATTTTATTCAATAGGCCTTATATAAATATTACAATAAAATATCAGAAGCCTATCCTCAACAACATTCATTGAAATTCCAGAACAGTTTACAAATGACCAAATTGAACACGTTCCTCATTCAATAATAAGGCTAAATTGGTTATATGACCGGTATTTTTTTAATTGTCCGCAGAAATGTTTTGGATTTACGCGTGTCCAAAACTTTTCTGTGACACTGAGGCACGCACCAAGAACTTGCAGTCCATTTATGTTTCGTAAATAAAGAGGAAGCTTATTAATATGCCATGTAGTCTTACGAGATGTAAATCAATGACAGTTCTTACCTTGCATATTCCTTGGCATACGCCCTTGTTCTCCATACGATCGAGTGAGTCCGAGTGATTCCGTATCGACTTTAGGCAGCATGTCAGCGCTGCCGGCCTGAGCTGCAGAGTCCGCACCTCTCGGCGGGACACCTGGACGTGAGAAGCAGATGTTCCCACATACACCCCTCAAAGAGTCCCAAATGTATTTTTTTTAATCTCTATCTCTTATGTATAACTATCTCTGTCTTCCAATTATTGGACCATGCTGCGAATATGAAGCCTGATTCAAACGAGTCAAGCTGTCTTCAAACGGCCGGGCTGCATAGCCGGTGCGTGTCTGATATAATTTAAATTTACTTATCTAAGTTCTCGTAAATTGCACTTGCGCACAAAACAGCAATACTAACGTAGACCACAGACGCGGTTTGTTCGGTACTTATTAAGGAACAGTTCACGCTGAGTAAAAGAATCAGTCTCTTACTCAAACGAGAAAACTGCAGTGTCCGGAATAAAATACGATAGTAAGTTTCCCTGTAGCTCTTCCAACTGTCTTTTTTAGCGCGTCACCCATTAAAGTGGGTCCTTCAGTGTAACTTTCAGCCTTTAGCAGAAGAGAACGTGCCGACGGCGCCGCCCCCTCTTGTGCGTAAAGTCGGAATCGGTGTGTCGGTCGGACAGTCTGGAGATGTGGAGACCTCTCATCCTCCTCCTCCTCGCGGCTTTGTTTATTCCTCTCTCTCCAATCCGGGGCGCATGCGGTCGTCTGACATCATTTTTCTCTGACCCAATCAGGCGAGGAGACCGGGAAAAATCGCCTCAAACCCTCCAGTTCCATCTCTCAGAAATCTCAGCTGTTTAATCCTGTTAATGATGGACTTTACAGGCGGAGGGAGAACAAGGAAATCAAACGAGGTGATGCAACTGTATGTGAGAGCAGACTCCCCGTGAGCGCAGAGGCAACGCGCGAGGTATGTATTTAGATCACACTACAGCACATGCACGCACACAGACACACGTGCCGGGTGTGCACGGTTCTATCATGTAAAGTTTTTTTTCTCTATCAATTCCCTATCTTTATCTATGCGTTGCATGTACTTTATTGCAATATTGTTCACCTCAATAATCCATTTAAGGATCAATTTATGTGCTTCTGTGGTCATCAAACAATCCCACTCACCATTAAAATCTCATAACACATCAAATAAAATGTAATGAGCTCTCTGTCTGTCTGTCTGTCTGTCTGTCTGTCTGTCTGTCTGTCTTTCTTTTCTTGAATTCTTACTCTAGAACAAAGCTCTTTCATTTGAGTAAAGAACATACACATTTCTGCATTCAACCCATATTTAATAAAATAATAATACTCAACCTCTGTGTTCAATCTTATGGAAAACGTGAGTAGAGCCGGCCTCAGGCTCAAAACGGCCTTTATTTTTGGATCAAACAGCCCCTTACGCAATAAATTATACTTTTGCTTCTGAATTATTAGCAGTAATTGGCTGAGCAGGGATCAATTAGTGATCTGACGTCAGGCTCGGGCTATTCAGTCTTTTACAAATACACAAAGACAATAAGTGTAGGTCCACGTCCCATTAAAGCCCCCCTCCAAGCGTTCGAACATCAAAACACACACTTATTTTTAGTTCACATGGACACAGTGTATCATCAGTCGGTACCCCAGTCACAAGTGCAGGGTCGAAGAGGGCGCGCACACACAGGATTGTGCAAACAGTTCCGCACTTAAGTAACTGGAGGATCGGTGTAAAACGAGAACAGAGAACAATACATTTTCAGAATTGAGTATATAAAATGATGTTGTGGAGGGAAAATACGAACAAAGCATGGGAAAAATGCTTTGTTCGTATTTTATTTTTGCGTATTTATGTATTTCATTCATTCAAACTTTCTTTATAATTACCAGTAAAGGCAAAGTTAATTTTTCAAGCGAAATATTAACTATCTCTGGGAGAGTCAACTAATTATGGTAAACTTTCATACTCACAACCAACCTAATCTTGTACA